CCCCACCGACATACTTTGCTCTCTGAGGCAGAACATGACCCTTCCCCTTCCTTGGCAGTACAGACAACAATAATAAAGGAGATAATTGCAATTTGGTGCTGTTTCAATAGACAAAACCAGTTTCCTGAGGGAGAGAGTCATCTCATTCTGTGTTACCCCTGCCGTTTGGGAATTAAACACACGATACCTGAATGCTTTGACAAAGATGGCTTCAAAACTGTTTTGAATGTCCATCACTTAGAGTCTGGCTATTGTATTCATCCATATCATTATTCCACATTATTTTAGAGATAGTCACTTTTCCAATTATTTTAACAGTTTTTTTTTCCTCCACAAAACCTGCACTTGGGTGAAGACACAAATATATAAATCCTTCCTGTGGGATGTCTCCGCTTCTAGGCACTGGAGAAGATTTTTTCTCTCTCTCCTCTCTTTGTAGAAAAACCTACCTTGGGGGGAAGTAGCAGGAGTTTGTGCTGAGAGACCAATTACAAATTTGAAGAGAGCCATCTGGGAGAATGAAAATGGGCCATTCGGGAGTTGCTTCACCCAATACACAGATGAAGCATGTTTCTGAGGTAAAGCCAGACAAATTTGGACATTTGGAATCAGGTGTTTAGATAGACCTTTGTGGGTTCAGCAGCGTGGTTCGAATAATGAAGACCTCTTGGGTATTAATGGTGCCATTAATGTGCATTTTGCTAATGACTGCTTTTGTTTTGTTAGAGTTATATATATATTTTCCTGGGCACCAGTAGAATAGATAACTCTCCCTGGATCTTCCTGCCATTAATTCACCCTCTCTTCAGTGGATGTTTATGAGGACCCACCCGCGTGGCTGATGGCTGCCAACCTAGCTTTCCTGAAATAGAACAGGCAATGCTTAAAGCCACAAATCTGTGTTCATCAACTATGGTGCACTGCACTCCGGGAGGCCATTAGGCAAAGGCGACTGGTTACATATAATTTATTGCAAATGCTATAAAGAGGCTACAGGGAAATCAACCCACCCTATGCTGACACCCCCTTCCATTTGTTTGCTGCTTTCAACAGTGTAGCATCAAAATGACCCAATTTTAGCTATTTTAAAGTTCAGTGACAGGGAAGAATCAACAATCTAGACTGGTTTTTATCATCCTTCTGTCTAGGTATTGAAAATACTGTCTTTTATTGATGTGAGCTGCTTTGGGCCATTTTTTGAAGGAGAAAGGTGGGGTAAAAATATTAGAACTAACTAACTAACTAGCTAACTAGCTAACTAACTAACTAGGGTCTTACTGTTCTTACGTTTCGACATTATTACATAGTTCTGTTGTGTAGAGTCTCTGGTACGTTTGCACAGTAAGACACACCTTCACAAAGCTAACTAACTAACTAACTAACTAACTAACTAACTAACTAACTAACTAACTAACTAGGGTCCTTACGTTTCAACATTATTACATATTTCTGTTGTGTAGAGTCTCTGGTATGTTTGCACAGTAAGACACACCTTCACAAAGATAGAGCTGTCATGACATCTGCATATTAAATATCATAGGCTGTATAGGGGATAACATAGGCTAATACAGAAAGATGGGCTTGTGGTCTATACTATAGAATTCCCTTGAACTCATGGCACTGGGCTCCTGCCATACCGTGCAGTAAGGGACAGGTAAGGCCACCTTCTGCGTTAGGCACAGAGGACCAAACCAAACTCCAGTTTCAAATACAACAGGTGCCACTTCATTTTGCAGAATGCTTCGACTGGATAGATTACTGGCTTCTAAACAAGTCCTGATAGTGCTTTTTGAGCTGCAGGTATGCTCCGAAAAATGGCACTTACTCACCTTTGGAGATGTGCTGAGCCTCGAAGAGTCGGCAGGGCTCCCCCCACTCTGGATAAGAACTGAACTGGGGTGAAAAAATGTGCTTGTGGATGACACCTCACAATGCAGTCCTACACATATTTATCTTGATGGGGTGAGAACGAGAAGCAAGCTATGATGGTAACTCTGTGTGTTTCGTTGGTGCCCAGCTGGTGTGAAAAGAAGACAAAAGCCTCTGCGGTGGGCAGGTTACAGAGGACCTGCTGGATAGCTCAGTGGTTTAAGGCATCTGGCTGCAGAGCCAGAGGTTCAGAGTTTGATTCCCCACTGGGCCTCCTAGATAGGAGCTGGACTTTGATGATCTATAGCAGGGGGTCCCCACCCTTTTTCACCCCACAGATCGGCTGCGGAAGGTGGGGCATCCTCGTGCTTGTGCACATGTGCGAATGAGCATGCTCTCTCTCACACAAACAAGCATGCATGAGCATGTGCAAATGGCAGTGTGGTGTTTGAGCGGCCGTAGGCGTGCCCGTGCACATGTGCAAACGGTGGCTCGGCACGTGCACGGGTATGCTGGAGCACATGTGCATGTGCAAATCAGCTGTGCAGGGGTGAATGCATGCGGGGCGCGAGAGGTCTGTCTCCGTGGCCCAGTCTGGCTCAGGCCACAGAGCAGCACCAGGCCATGGACTGGGGTTTGGGGACCTCTGATCTATAGGATCCCTTCCTGCTCTGACGTTCTAAAAATATTAGGATTCATAGCAAGACATATATGAGAATTAATAAAGATACTATTCTAAAGCTGGAGTATCTTTGTAAACTGGACCTCATGTTACATTGGTTTTACAATGACATTTAAATTATGTAAGAAAATATAAGCTTGGAAACTGTTGTTGTTTAGTCGTCAAGTCGTGCCCGACTCTTTGTGACTCCATGGACCAGAGCATGCCAGGCCCTGATATATTCCATGGCCTCCCGGTGTTGGGTCAAATTCACATTGGTTACTTCGCCTGTCCAACCATCTCGTCCTCTGTCGTCCCCTTCTCTCCTCTTGCCTTCACCCCTTCCCAACATCAAGGTCTTTTCCAGGGACTCTTCTCTTCTTGTGAGACGGCCAAAGGATTGGAATCTCAGTTTGAGGATCTGTCCTTCCAGTGAGCACTCAGGGTTGACTTCCTGGAAACTAGACTATGTGAATTTCGATTTTTAAAATTTCGCTTCTGTCTCTTCATAAAAACGTATTATTCTATCAGACTCCTGTTTTAACAGACAACCCATAATGATCTGTTATGTTTAACAAATAAATGGGAATAACTGAAATATTATTACATTGTAAAGCTGGTATTTTAATAAACACCAAATGTTAATAAAATGATTAGAACTGGAGGATACACTGAGAGCTCATGCCAGCAGGAAATTGTTGAGACTTCATTTTAACAAAGCTTATTAAATAACAGCTTTTCTTCTGTACTGCTTCAGTTGAATGAAGTGACCTATGAAGCGGGGGGAATCATCTGCCTCATTCCTACCTTAATACCTCAACTTCTGCATCTTAGAGAACCATTCTATTTTGAAAGATATCTCTGTGATGAAACAGAATCTCCATATTTTTGCTTAAGATATTTCTTTCACTCGGCATGAATCCTTCCTGTTTTCCTCTTGTTTTGTAATGCTCACATATCTTTCCTTTGAGTTCTTTTTTTCTTCGGTCCTTTTTGCTAACCTCAGGAGCCATCCACATCATGCCAATGTGGACTCTTAAGAAGCAAGCATTACTGAGTTCAATGCAATAGGATTACACATACATTTTAGAGTCTATGGCTCCTTTGAGATTTCAGCCTGTTTCTGAACTTCATTTTTTATGTCAAATGTTATTAGAAGTTTGTTTTAAACAGCTGTGCTAAACATAATTATTCTTCACAATTATGAAAAATAATTGAAGATATTAAGAGAAAGCCAACATTACATGAGTGTTTGGAAAAACAGAAATTTCCCTTTCCCCTCTCCTCGTCTAGTCATTTAGTCATATCCGACTATTCGTGACCCCATGGACTAGAGCACGCCCAGCCCTCCCATCTTCCACTGCCTCTCTGAGTTGTGTCAAATTCATGTTGGTTGCTTCGATGACACTCTCCAACCATATCATCCTCTGTCGTCCCCTTCTCCTCTTGCCTCCACACTTTCCCAACATTAGGGTCTTTTCCAGGGACTCTTCTCTTCTTTTCATGAGATGACCGAAGTATTGGAGCCTCAGCTTCAGGATCTGTCCTTCCAGTGAGCACTCTGGCTTGATTTCCTTTAGAATGGATAGGTTTGTTCTCCTTGCAGTCCAGGGGACGCTCAAGAGTCTCCTCCAGCACCACAATTCAAAGGCATCAATTCTTCGGCGGTCAGCTTTCTTTATGGTCCAGCTCTTACTTCCATACATCCCTACAGGAAAAACCATAGCTTTAACTATTCGGACTTTTGTTGGCAAGGTGATGTCTCTGCTTTTTAAGATGCTGTCAAGGTTTGTCATCGCTTGCCTCCCAAGAAGAAGGCATCTTTTAATTTTGTGGCTGCTGTCTCCATCTACAGTGATCATGGATCCCAAGAAAGTAAAATCTGTCACTGCCTCCATATTTCCCCTTCTATTTGCCAGGAGGTGATGGGACCAGTGGCCATGATCTTAGTTTTTTTGATGTTGAGTTTCAGACCGTTTTTTGCACTCTCCTCTTTCACCCTCATTATGAGGTTAATTCCTCCCCACTTTCTGCCATCAGAGTGGTATCATCTGCATATCGGAGGTTTCTCCAACTTTCTGTAAACCCCCAAATTTGCTCCAGAGCCCCCCGTCCCCCATGTGCTGAGGAAGCGGGCCACTTAATGCACCAGCATGTTTCTGTTCCCCTGGTGAAATGATGCACTTGGACAATGATATGTGTTTCCTTCTTTCTTCCTGCACAACCCTTTTTTCTTGAACATCTTGTGTCTGAGGGAACACAACATCTTCATATTAATTTCTGTAAGCTGCTCTGGGAGTCATTTGTGGGACAGGCAGTGGATAACAGTACGAGAAGAAACTTAAAACGTCTACTAAGAAAGGAGTGAAGGGGTGGGAGCAGAAAAGAAAGAACATCGAGATGCCAACTAAGGGTTTTTAAGCTGTGTTAATACACAAACAGAACAAGACAAGGCACACTTGTTTTTGAGAATTTGATATGCATTGCTTTTAATCATTATGTCAAAAGAAGAATGGGATTCTCTACATTTGTAAGGAGACTACTTTATTACTAGAATTTCCATAGGCACAATCAACTCAAAGATAGAAAACATCAGCATCTGCTTAAATAATCCCACTGAAATCAAACTGATTTAATCCTGTTTGACTACAGTCAACTTGTAAACATTAGTTTTGCATTCTTTCCTTATCACAGAGTTCACAGGGAAACCGCCACAGGCTTTCAGTTTTAGTTTTAGATCTAGGCTTAGATGTTTGAAGACAATTTTTTTAAAACCACATACAACATCATCAATGTAACAAATGCTTTAAGCTCTTGGGTTTATTTGTTCTTTAAGCAGTTAAGGCAAACATTTTCATTAGTCCCAATACAAATAAAGCAAAGCTGCACACACAGAAAAAACATTTTGGTTTTCAAAGGCTCTGATATCCAGGAAATTACTAGACAGGTTTCTGGAAGATAAACGCTATTTAAGAAACTGTAGTGTCGCTCCCATCAGTTGATGTGGCAGGTCTATTCACATGGATTCTGAATGACGATAAGAAGATATTCCTTATCTGTGAGAAAAGGCAATAAATAAAATATGATATAGGCTTCAAATGAGTTCATTTATTATTATTATTATTATTAGAATGCATTCTGTAATCGTGTTTGAAAATACTTCTATGCTCCACTGTCATTTCCCTCTATGTAAGGTCTTCCATCATGGATGGTTAATTTGCTGATTTACCTTCTCAAGGTGGTGCCTTCCAGATGTTCCAAAAATTCTCAGCACCCCGACCACTGGTTGTGCTACACACCAAGTCCAAAACATCTGGATGGCCCCACACAAGGGGATAAAGCACTCAGTTTTAGGTGCTTCATTTACTTTGTAAAGTCACTCATTGTACCATCCCCTTCATATTAAACAAAACGAAACACTTCAGAATTGGGAAGGAAACATAAATATTTGGTGGAACGCCTTCTGCCACCAAGATCTACCCGTATCACTCGCGCGAGCCAGGAGGTGAGGCTGAGGAGCCTAACGCCGAGGGAGGCCCGGAAGGAAAAGACAAGAAATCGGGCCTTCACGGCGGTGGCTCCTCGCCTCTGGAACAACCTTTCTCCTGATATTCGCGCGGCTCCCTCGCTGGGCATTTTCAAAAAACAACTAAAAACATTGCTGTTCTGGCAGGCCTTCCCCCCCCAGCCAATCTCTGATTCCTTTCTTTTTTCCCCCCTTGCGTTCGATCTAATTGTTGAATATGTTTTTATATAAGTTGCATTTGCTATTGTTTTATCCCTGTTGTAAGCCGCCTTGTACCATCCCCTTTATATTAAACAAAATGAAACACTTCAAAATTGGGAAGGAAACATAAACGTTATCAAAAACCACCTTTATCTACAAATAAATATTAAAAGCTGAATGAAAATTTTTACCCAGGTTAAATCAATTGAATGATATTTCTGATAAACTATTAGTGTAATTATAATTAAGTATTATGCATGCTCATCAGTGAAATCCAGCTTGGTGAAGCAAGGGCTTTTGTTCTTCCTAGGAAATGGTCTTATAGCAGATCATCTTCTAAGTAAGCACAACCACCAGTCATCATCATCCTAGAATGCAGAGCTGGAAGGGACCCTATGGATCACTGAATAAAGCCTGTGCTAAGGATGATGAGTGGGGGTCTGAAGTCCCAACTTCTGTCTCTACAGCCAGATGTTTTAACCACTGAGCTATCCAGCAAGCTCCACCATCTCTATTTAAAGGATTTGATGGCGAGCACATTGTTTATATTTATGTCTTTCTAACTAAAATAGTTCGTTTCAGGGCAACTTTGGAGAAACGAAAGCAAACAGAGAGAGTATGTTTTGTTTGTGCAGTTTATTACCTGGGGCAACCATGATTTCATGTTTCTTTGATCTAATTCTCAGAAAGGTTAGATCGTTCTGGGGATCAATGTCCCTCACTGTGCTCTTTGCTTTCATGGTGAGCTGATGGAGGAGGCCTGCGTACTGTACTGTAGTGGAGTTGTCAAGCGTTGTTCTGATCGGAATGCCTAAAAATCAAGTAGTTTGCTGCTTTAAGAGTCAGAAAAGCCTAGTCAGCTTAATACTAAGTATTTTAAGGATATTTCTTAAAAGGACAGAAATATAAAAAACGAACAATAGACACAACCCATCCTTTTCAATGTAAGTGCGAGATCCCTGCAGATATGCTACTAAATCCACTTCAATTTCCATCTTGTAAAACATGAGCTTTGGTGATATGCTAGTTGTGTTATATTATGCCCATCCATTCCTAAAACTTGGGACTCTCTCTTAGCTCATTTACTGTTTTCTAATGCCCACTTCTCACCAAAGCTTGGTTCATCAGTTAACCCAGTTGTTCTGTTCCTAACGTAGCAAAACAAGCAAAGGCACCTTATTAAGCTATTCACTACAACACGAACAGACTAGTGACACATCCAGCTGGTACTATCTATTCTGAACTGCCAACAGCTTTGCAGAGAGTCAGGATAGCTAATCCCAGCTGTCTGATTTTTTGAAACTGGAAATGCTAACAACTCAAATAAAGCCATTCTGCATCTCCTGTCCTTCACTCTTGCAAAAAAATCCTGCTTTAAAGCTGAGTAATGAAGATCAGGAGATCCCAAAAAACAGCTCAATGTAGAACTTGCATTGTTTGAGTTCACACCAGCCGTTCCCCTTCCAAACATCACATTTCATCTTCTGTCTCCTTGGTTTGCAGTGTCAGACACAGTTGCCTACTCTAGAAAATTGCAAACACACTTTCGTGAGTTTTAGGGCAGATACTTGGGGCACAGATAGAAGACAATACGGGCAAAGGATCATCTGAAGACAGAAAGCTTAAGAACTGTTTTATTACAGAGAAACCCAGAAAATATTAGCATCTAAGGAGCCACTCTCAACTATCCTGATAGAACTGTCTGATCTCAGAGGCTCCAGTCCAATTCAACGCTCGTGTCAGTTGGATAGAAACAGCAGTGGAACTAATTTCAGTTCTTTCCCGTTCTGCAGCGCTCGTTTTTCTGCCACTGAGAAAACTTCCTCTACAAGCAATGGAAAGAGGTTAAATGCATTCTGATCTGCATTTAAAACTCATTCTGTCTGGGGACAAGAACAGGCATATTTTACCTTGCCTTGCCTTATGGAGCCTCGTGGCGCAGTGTTTGCACTGCTGTACTGCAGCCAAAAGTGTGCTTACAACCTGGGGGCCAGGCAGCCGGCTCAAGGTTGACTCAGCCTTCTGTCCTTCCGAGGTCAGTAAAATGTATACTCAGCTCATGGTGTGTGTGTGGGGGGGGGAGGAACGACAACTATGTGTAGCCTGCATAATTAACTTGTAAAATGCTTTAAGCATTATGGGGTGGTGTATAAGTAGCACACTTTTTGTTTTATGGGGCTGGAAGTTCTGGTCGTAAACAAAAATCATTGTGGATCCTCTATAACAGCTGGGTGGGGCTTGCAGGAAAGCATGGAGATAGGATCCTTCCCCCGGATGTCAGAATGTCATTGATGACATTGAAAGGGTGTCTCTGATACATCCTCAGGAATGCTTCTCAGGACCACCAGCTTGGGCTGCCTAGACCTGATGCATTTCAAGGGGATTTAAGCACTCTATGAAAGAACAAGAATGTAATTCTTGATTCTCTACCTTAAAATCATTCCCCTTCAAACCAAGTTTGCTGCATACATGACCATTTATCCACCAGGCCTTAAGTGCCAGTCTCAAGATGTCTGTACCTGAAACAAAAGCAGGTAAAACCTACTGCTGAGGGAAGAGAATTCTTCCTCATAGTCTCCAAGTCATAAGATTTCTCTATTTTGGACAACTGGAAAAGTAGCTCCTAGAAGGATAAAGAGGCTCAGGCAGTTGTATATTAGAGATCATTGCAGGAATCACATATTGGATGAAAGCCCGGTTTCTGTTGAGCGAATGGGAAATCTGCCACTGACTTCAGAAGGACAGAAAGCAGTCCAGTGAGTTATAAAGGCCAAAATGGCTTCTTAATTTTCTTTTTTAAAAGTGCAGCATTTGTAAACTTGAAGGTTGAGGCCTCATAGATTCAAAACCAAAACCATTGATCATCCTTTGAATACTGAAGGAAAGAGAGATGTCTGGCCAGTACAGGCTGAAATAATCAGTTCACCTTGGTGACTTCTATGGATTTAAACAGAACTGGTCCTCAACTTTGAGCTCCCACTGGTAAATTAGAAGCAAAAAACCCCCAAAAAACCCACTTAGCTTTGGAGCAGGATTTCTGCAAGAGTGAAAGACAGCGCTTCAAGCGCTGCCAGATGCAACAGTCTGTCAGGTGCAACAGACCACATCCTTTGCCGAAATCAACCCAGCTGGAAAGTATTTTAGTTCGAGACCCCGCCGTTATGCAATTGCCTGGAGAATTACTTTCACTTTTTAAGTGCTTTTGATAGGACTGCAACAGCTTAAATGCTTGGAGAAAAGAGAGGGCGCATGTACACGGGTGCGTAAAATAGGTGCAAACTAGAAGGCCATGGCTAAGAATTGAAAAACTGGATACATGGAGGCAACGAAGCCCGTGTACCATCTGCCCATGGCATACTCCTTAATCGTAACTGCCAACATTTCCACGAAAGTCCAGGGATACTTCAGATTTGCGGTGCTACTTTAAAAAGAAACTTTTTTTAAAAAAAAAATTAAACTCTATGGCCATCTTCAACACCATCATTTGATATAATGTTTGGGTATAATTTGATAGAAAAATGAGATACAAATGTAATAAATAAGCAAGGAACAAATAAGGTGTGCCAGCCCGAACCAGATGGAGGTTAATGGGTCTTGGAGTAAGTGCACTTAGAACTAAGAAACAGAGTGTACCAGCATAGAAGCTCAGGTCAACGTTCCAGGACTATAAGCAATTTCATAGCAATCCCCCTTCCCAACCCTATTCCTGGTATTCTGACAAGTGTGGCTCATTTCAGCAGCCTAATGTAGATGTGGGAGAGACAAGGTCTTGTTATGGGGAAATGCCTTTTGGTCGTAGTTTTCGGCATTGCAGCCGTGTTAGTCTGTGTAAGCGTTTCAACAAGAAACACCAAAGCAAACCAAACAAACAATAAACCAAATCTGAGTTTTCTTGCTGATCTGTTGCAAAGTATGCTATGATTTCTGTGCAGACCCTGAAATGGTTTCTGCCTATTCCCATATGGAATATTATTATTTCCTAAAGCAAATCTCTGTCCATCTTAACTGCAAAACTATGCAGCTATGACAGTCGGAAAAGAACATGTCAAAATGTTGTAGAATACACAACAGAATCCAGAACCCTATAATGTTCTTTTGAATATGAGGATGGGGGTGTGTTGAAGAGTATTTTAACCAACTCACTTCTGGGTAGTATGAAACTGGTATGCCTACAGTCCCTTTTCCCCCAAGTCAGACCATAAATCCATATATGGCATGAATTTCCTAGTAGTACATAATCCTATATTTAACTTAATTAATATAATAGACACAATTAATGAAACAGACATCTTTGATTTCCTTTCTTATTTTTGAGTCCAGGCATTGAATTCATCTTATAAGCTTACTAGACTCAAGAGTCTTTTTTTATTGGATTTTTTTCTTTTCTTAAAAAATAGCAGATATAAAACAGAAATTGCAATTGACATACTTTTGTAGTAAAGCACTGATTACTTTTATTTATTTATTTTGCATAGTCAAAGGCCAATATTTACCTTCTGCGTTTACAACAATAGTTCCAATAACTCCTTTATGGGACTGAATCCTCTTTAGTGTTTCTTCTACTTCTGCCTGTTTAAAAAAAAAACATGAATACTCTAAAGAGGAGCTGACACACATTTCCAAGTGACTCTCTTCCTTCTGACCAGAATATGGAACTAGCCAATGAATTGCAGCAAAGGAGCAGCCTTGAAGACGGTATGCTATTGTTTTGGTTCTGCTTCAGAGTAACACATACACCTAGAGAATGACGCTGATGTCACTGTGGAAAAGGAGTGCTCCAGATGAATAGTGGAAGTTAGACAAAAAATGTGCTCAATGCAGGAAGGACACTGGTATATAAGAGGCCATGTCTGGATAATTACTTGTGGTGAGCTAAAGTCTGACAATGATCAATTTCTATCTCCCTTCAAAATGTAAAGGCTGAGAACCGTCACTGCTCCCCCCATTCTTTGAATTGTGACCAGCATGTATGTGTTTCCTGCCTCCAAGAAATATAACATTTCCGCACATTTTGAAGCTATGGTGGGGAAAAAAAGGTGTAGGGAAAATGGAAATTCTGGCAAAAACCAGAAACATATGCAAAACTCATTTTCATATCAAATCGAAACTTACTTTAGTGTGTCAGAAAAACTGAATGTGTGACTGTGACTTTTTCCACCAGACTAGAGCAAAGGTCATCTTAAAAAGATTATGCCTGTAATTTTGGAGATTCATTTATAATTTTTCTGCATGACTCACAAGTTACTGCTGTATTCCTGAAGAAGTAGATTTTTATTCCAGGAAAGCCTACATTCATTGTTTGATTATTAGCGGTCTAATAAAGGTGCCACATTATATTTGCTAAGAAAGCAAATAACTATCCACAAGGAATGAAGCTACCCCATATTCTCCCCTTATTGTCTGGGAATCTGCTAGGTGTAAAAATTCATTGTGGATCTACATATTGTATACGTCCACAGTATAGAGAGGAATTATCACTCTCTAATACTGTAGACTCATATACAAATCCTCATGCTTTATAGTTCCTGGTATTTGGAGTGAGTAATAACCAGTCTTTAAAGGCATTCCTCTCATTCCAAAAGACATATTTATCTGAATTTCTCTTCCAATATTGCCTGAAGGCTCTCATTTCTTTTCACTGGAAAAAAACCACACATACTATTGGGAAAAAAAAGGTTTTGTTTTCCTCTAGGCCTGCCTCACATATGTAATACCTTTTCCCCGTTGGCTGCCATTCCATGAGTAAAATGTTGTATTCATCGTTGAGGAAGGAGCCAAATGGGACTTCAGAAGAAGCTAAGAAGCTATCAAAGAAGGCAAGTCATTGATGTAACTTGTCTTGGAGCTTCTACTGGATAGCCTTCAAACCAGCAAACAAGCTAAATAGTCTCTTATGACTATCACTTTTTCTTTCTTTTTCTTTTTTTTTTGGTCACTAAAGGTTTAAATTTAGATTTGATCAGGCAGAGGTAAATTTCACAGAACAAGCTGTGACTTACATCTGGGTAAACATGCATAGGAATGGGATATAGGAGTCTTGTATTTTTCATTTATGTGTAGCACTTGGATATTTATTTATTTGAGTTCTATACTGCCCCATTAGTACAAGCACTACTCTGGGCAATTTACAGGGTAAAACCTTAAAATCCCACAAACCCCATATGTTGTGAAACCTCTAGATATTAATAAAATAAACAATAGGTCCAGAAGCAGAGACACATTGACAACTGAAGCTGCAACTCCTGTACCCATTAAGCAAGGAATTAAATTCAACTGAAAATATTAAACTATGCTATGCCTATACAGTGTAGATATACTGTACATTATATACATATTAAACCCCACCAAGCTCAATGGACTAAATCTAAGAAAAGAATCATCCTGTAGAAATATTTATTTAATGTATTTCACCTTGTTACTGAGTAGACAGTGTGATCTTAATAATATTATCATGATCATCCTCTTACTCCAGAGAGATTATGCTAGTCTGTTCCGAGAAATTCAGCAGGGAATTTAAGAGAACGGAAAGATTAAAGATAGCAGACCAATCTGCGGACTAAAGACCGCTTAATATTATTATTACTACTGTATTTCATCCAACCTTATATATGTTTACTTAGTAGTAGTAGTAGTAGTAGTAGTAGTAGTAGTGTAGTAATGATGTGCTGTCAAATCAGTTCTGATTTATTCCAATCCTTTCCAGGGTGAATGGTTTCCTTCCCGCCAACTGCAGTGGTGTTTTGTTGTTTTGTTTTTCATGTAAATAAAATGAACTTCAATAGAAAAGCCTTCGTGTCTCAGTCTTTTGTTTAAGGTAAATTGTTTGGCATAACAATTTGGGGGCTCGTCCGGGATCTCTAAACGCCCCGATTGGGGCTGGATTTTTATCCAGTTGAGGTCAGGCAGAACAGGCGGCGGTGAAGTGAATCGGAAGGCGCCTCTGCCTTCTTTTAAGGCAGCCGCTTCCTTGCCGACGCTTTGGCTGCTTGGCATCAAGAACTCGGAAAGAGGCACGAACGCGAGAGTTTTTTTTT